CTTCTCTTCCGGCATCTCCTTCTTCTTTTCAAGTTTCTTTTCCTCTGGGACATCCTTCCTCTCTTCCGGTTTCTTCTCTTCCGGCATCTCCTTCTTCTTTTCAAGTTTCTTTTCCTCTGGGACATCCTTCCTCTCTTCCGGTTTCTTCTCTTCCGGCATCTCCTTCTTCTTTTCAAGTTTCTTTTCCTCTGGGACATCCTTCCTCTCTTCCGGTTTCTTCTCCTCCGGCATCTCCTTCCCTTCTTCCGGTTTCTTCTCCTCCGACATCTCCTTCTCTTCAAGTTTCTTTTCCGCTGGGATATCCTTCCCTTCTTCCGGTTTCTTCTCCTCCGACATCTCCTTCTCTTCAAGTTTCTTTTCCTCTGGGATATCCTTCTTCTCTTCCGGTTTCTTCTCCTCCGACATCTCCTTCTCTTCAAGTTTCTTTTCCTCTGGGATACCCTTCTTCTCTTCCGGTTTCTTTTCATCCGACATCTCCTTCTTCTCTTCAAGTTTCTTCTCCTTTGGGACATCCTGCTTCTCTTCTGGTTTCTTCTCCTAAAGGGCTGCAAGGTATAAGTGCAGAATGAATAAGTGCAGAATGAAGACATGTATGCACTAAGACTAGCACATAACATATCATTGCTTAATATTATTCTTCTCATATTGGATCGTACTATATACATGTTACATGAATGATAATATACTGTAAATCTCTCTCTCTCTCAAACACATCTTGGGCCTACAAAGTTTGTTCATGCTGTTTATTACCATGATGGTATTGCCCACCTGTCTTTTGGCTGCATGCGCGGAAGTGGAAGTATGAGCTTTTTGCTGCTTTTGTCTCTTGTTCTTGTTCCAAATCTCATCCTCGATCTGCTTGAAGATTGCCAACTGCGCTGCGTTTTCGGCCCTCTTCCTGCGTGTCTTCTGTAAGACTTCCAAAGGGATCTGAAACCCTGGGCGAACAGAAAGTCCAAGGGAATGCTGAAGCCTCATGCGATCGTTCTCTGCAGCTTCAACCTGTTCAGTGTAGGTGGTACTGCTGAAAACAAAAAAAATGAGAACATGACCCTGGCCTTTGGGATCACTGCGCTGCTTCGGCATGGTGTTGCTACTGGGGGATCTTGGCTCTGGTTCTCGTCCTGGAACTCCAAAAGCTGAGTGAAAATGGTTTGCTTGCCTTTGAGTCCACTTGAAAGTCCACTTGTATCGATACCATGTTTTCTGAATAAGTTGGTTGTGTTTTGATGTTTCATGTTAATCTCTGTCGGTCCCAAACATTGTCCTCTTTCTTCATGAGATTTCAAAATCTTGTAGATGCCCAAAAGTATGTTCCCACTCCTTAGCACAGACAGGAGCTGGTTCTTCCTCTGTGTCCTGCTCGCCTAGGATCAGGGTCTCCTCGGAATCCTCATCCTGAAAGGATGCGAATGCAAAATTAGACCCCTGGAATACCTGAGGAAAATCCGATGATCAAATGGTATGCATAATTTTGGTTTTATTTTGACCCCACCACCATCATCACCATAATCATCATGATCATCACCATCACCATCACCATCACTATCACCACCATCATCATCATCACCATCATCATCATCATCATCATCATCATCATCATCATCATCATCATCGAAATCGTCATTAGCATCATCAACATCATCATCATCACCACCACCACCACCCACCATCATCATCATGACCATCATCATCACCGTCATCATCATTCTCAAATAATAAAATATAATAAATAATAGTAATAATGGTAATCATCATCATCAACATCATCACCATCATCATCATCATCAATATCAATAATCATAATCATTATAATCATCAACCATCATCACCATCACCATCGCCATCACAACCATCACCACCATCATCATCATCATCATCATCATGATTTGTCATCATTTCCCGAACATGCGTCCTGATCGTGCTTCATCTTTCGGTTCTCTGCCATGTCTGCAATCTCACGGAGGGAAAGCGATGAGACAGTCTCTTCAAAGGCAGTCGGCTGACTTTCTTCATCATCACCTGGGACATGGTCATCCTTCTTTTTGCCTCGGCTTTTCTTTTCCTTCTTGGTGTCTTTTTTCACTTCTTTTGTGGTCTTTGTTGTCTTTGTTGACTTGGCGGCTGGTTTCTTTTGAGGTTTCGTCGAAGGTTTCTCTCCTTCAGGATCTGGGTCGGCCTCATCATCAGAATCCTCGATGGCATTGAACGTTGCATCAGCAAGGTCTTCTTCCTGTTTGCGTTTCTTCTTCTCTCTTCCATCATCTTTTTTTTCCTTCTTACTTTTCTTTGTCTCCTTTTCTTTGGTGTCTTTTCCTTTCTTCGTTTCCTTCTCCTTGTCCTTCTCCTTCTCAACATTCTTGTCGGTAGAGTCTGAAGAGCTGTTCAAAGCCACACGTCCAAACGCTGGTGTTGCTGATGCTGTGCTACCTGGGTGCCCAAAAAACAATTTGGAAAAAAAACTATATGGCTCACCTAGTATGTGGTACCTGGTGGTTTGGGGAAAACTGCCAAAAAAGTCAACCAAAAAATATATTCCAAGTCACTGCGAGCTGATGCGGATTGCTGTGCCCTTGGCCTTGTCGTCGGTGAAGCTTCTGCTAGCAAGTCGCTGTAGTCAGAAACACTGAACTTCCTGCTAATCTGGATGTTCCCAGCTTGGCTGCAAGGAACGTCATCATCATCAGAAGATTCAGACACTGAAAACGAAGCCATGCCCCCAACGAAAACCAAGATTGGTTACGGTCAGGGACAGTCAAGTTCTTTGGCCTTGCTTTGAACCAAAACCCTTGCAAAAAAGCTGATACTTTTCGAATCTTTTTGATGCCAGTTTGTGGCATGCAGCTGCGATACTTTGTGCTGGCATTCCAATAACAACAGCCCTGACACTTTTTCCCAAAGATTCCCAAAGGAGTTCTTCGGTTGCGTTTCCAAAGCTTTCAGCATGGCATAGCGCCAAAGGATCGCCGCACACACAATGCACACTGTTTGGGCACTGACATTTCAGTCAATGATAAGTGTGAGGTGTGGGCCAGCCCCAAATCCCAAATCAGGTGGCCAGCATACGTCCTGTAACAATAATTGAACATAATTACACATTGTAATTTGTTGAACCTTAACATTAACCATAATATGTGTGACACAGGTTTACAGAATGCATAATATTTTAATATTTTTTTGGTTCAAGAATAAGGTCAACCCAGAAAATACGCATGGCCCCTGCATGAACTCACATCAAACGGTAAAACTTGTCAGCCTCGCACGAAATCCCACCAGGAAGAATGGCAACTGGGCGAATTGGAGTGATCTCCTTGGACCCTTCACCGTTGCTTTGCAGCCTGAATTCGAGAGTTGGGTCAGTGTGGATTTGAAAGAATGGGGCTTGTTGAACAATGGAATAGTGAATAGTGTATGTTGATCAACCATTCAACTTTAGGGGAACATCATCTTCTGGCAAACCCATGTTGGCTATTGGGGCCAATATGGAATTTGGGGATCGTTATTATACAATAGTTGTGCTGCAAGCATTGGATGCTGGGAACAATATTAGTTGCCCTGCAAAGTTTGTTGAAGGGAATTAATATGGGTAGGTACCTTAAATCTATCGGATGTTGGGAATAGAAAAGATCTGAATAGCTTCCGTGCACATCCCACCTACAATTGACCAGACCTACAATAGGTTGCAGTGGTATGCAATGATGCAACTAGAGATTAGAGACTGAACCCCCTTGATGCCAACAACCTTTACAGGTGGGAAAAAGAAAATCTTGCGGTTCTTGATGCCAACAAAAAATCACAATGGACTGGGTTTCGACGGCCACAGAACCACAAGAGAAATCCATACAGTGGCATTCCATGAGTTAGATGAAACTACAATCGGAATTCATCTTACCAGTAAACAGTGCGCCAATCCTCATTATTCTTTGAGAAGCGGTTCCAGTAAGTTTGACACAGCCAGCCATGGCACCTGACCCGCCAACAGATCGTGAAGTTGGGACAACTGCGAACCTTCGCCATGTTCAATCGCGCCCCAAAAGTAGGGACTGCACCAACCTGCAAGGTTGCTGACATATACTCTGACATATGTACTCTGACATATACTCTGACATATACTCTGACATATACTCTGGCATATACTCTGATTCTATATTTTCTTAATCCATTTTTTGACATTTGGAACTTATCCCCAGTTTTGTACTGGCCTTCTTCTGCAAAGTCTTCTCCTTGGGAGCATCCAAGACAAAGCAGCAAGGCTTCGCCCGGCTCACCACCGAACCATCGATGGAGTGAAGCGCGATTGTCACACCAATCTCCCCAGCATTCTCAAGAGCATGAAGAAGTTCGCTGATTTTCATCACCTGGACATCACATGGAATGCCATGCATCGACAAAGAACACACTAAACTTCATCACATGGATATTCAGAAAGAATCCAGGGTATCAGCATAGATATAAACGTTTTGCCCAAAGAATGGTCTATCAGTAGTTGTTCACCTTGATTCGCGGTATCTATGTTGATTTGTTGATTTACTAGAAGGCGATAGCTAAACAATGTGTTTGCTTTCAGGTTGGAGAATTGAGGAACAAAATTTTGATTTAGATTGTGTTTTCCATAAATGGGTACAGTACCAAAGCCCTGAAGATGGATCATGTTTACTGTCTACTTTGGTGATGCCTCCCCCAAAAAATCAGAGTTTTTTGAAGATGTGGGTGGGCCTTGTTGAAGATGCTCAGACTTTTGACATGGTCTCCGAGCTTCTTGTCAGCCTCTGCGATGATGTAGTCATCCAAGGATTTGATGAGATATGCGACCCATCTGCCCGATTTGCTGCTGTCGTTCATGATGTCAGTCGCTTCCTGGTAGCAGCAAGTTGTCAGTGGGCCCACAGCCTTCATTCAATTGTATCTTTTGAATAAATGAAATTCTATCGAAACCAAGTATCGTTGCTCATGGCAAAGTCTCCGGAACCAAATCCCCAGAGTTCGATTTTCGGAGGGACTTCAATTGCCTGACCAGGCTTTTCAGGCCCAATCCACAAGACTTCTTCCTTCTTGTCTAGGATGAGCTTGCAGTTGCCCAGCGTCAAAGTCACCCTGGTGGCCGCAAAAGAAACTAGAAACTAGCTGTAACTACTTTTGATTGATTGATTGATTGATTGATTGATTGATTGTCTTGTAGTTTGTTTAGAAAACACACAAGGGAGTGTCAACCCATATGGGCATGTTGAACCTACCCCCAATGGCCAAGCCCGAAACCAGTCAGTGAGAACATGTATCGCATATTTCTTGGGGTGAAGTTTGAATAAGTTTGAAACACTGTTGAGTTTGTAGTGGTTATCCAAGGATTGTTTTTGGGACATGGGCCGAGAAACTTCTCCTCGATCAAAGCTTCATCAGTGAGGGCCATGGTTTTGTCAACACAAAGTTTCTTTGCCGCTGGCTCTTCCGGTGCCCTTTCGGAATCGGATGCATCCCCCCCTCGTTTGACTCCCCGAGGATTGAATCTGTCATTGTGGTCTTTGATGAGGGCTTCCTCACAATGATTCGGATGAGTTGCAACTTGGCAAGAATATGGGTGGCTCAGTTGATTACACCAACAGACTTATGGCAACATTAAAAACATTTCCCCAAAAAGTAAACCATAGTAAACTACCAATGATACTCAGCCAAGGAACAGCCTCATCCCGGAATGATTCATTCTTCTCTGTCCAAAGCTGGATGAGGGCAGATTTCACAACCAGTGTGCCATCTGGCAGGGGTGTGCAAACATTGTACTGGGGAGCGGATGTTGACACATTGCGGTTCTTCAAGTCCTTCACCAAACTCAAGAAGTCAGGGAAGCCAGGGATCTTCAAAGCCCCATCCCTGGCACTGCTGAAAATTTTGTTGGCAATGACCTCCCCAACAAATGAAGTCTCGTGGGAAGTGTGGCAAATGGTCCCCGTTGACACCTTGTTGCCTTTGGCGATCTCAGTCAAAGCATAGGCTGCAGGCCACCCATCATAGCCAAGCATGTCCAAGATGACATTGAAGTTCTCAGAAGGGTCGCAAAGGTTGGTCACAAACTTCTCAACGATGCTGGAGCCGGCCAAGTGCTGGCAGGGGAATGCACTCAACTTGAAATTCTGTGTATTTATAAAAAGGGTCGAGAGCCGTTTTTTGTAATAAATGTCATTTGCTAGCGATATTGCATTCATTTGCATTCGTAAAAAAATCAACGGTTGGGGGAACCAGCACACATGTTAGTATCGCAAAAATTGTCCAAAATATTTTTTTCAAAATATCATGGAATATGGATTCAAACAGACATTTCAACTTTCAATAGGTCCTGCCTGCTTGAGCTCTTGCACTTGTGTCAACCTGGCATCTGAGGCGAAACCTTTCAAGGGCTTTTCGACCTTGACCATGTCAGCCCTGCTCAACATTGAGGCGCCATGGATCACTCCGGTACGCCACGCTTTGGATTTCCAGTACACATTGTGCTTGTCCATCGATGTAATGAGAAGGCATTGATGGCACCCATTTCTCACTCCATACACGGTGGATTCATCAAACACAAGTGTGCAGTGCTTGACCTTGAGTGGCCAAAGGTTGCAGAAACAAGAGTTTGATATTAGTAACTGGTTTGTTCAGTCTGGTCATTCCTGATGATATTGCTAAAACACATTGACAATAATAATCAAGTTACGCGGAGGCAACGATCAGACTCCAGAAAATAGTTCTTCAGCCTGTAGATGAACTCATGCAGCACTGCCTCTGCTGAGTCCGACCCTTGCTCCTTGTCGTCTTCTTCGTCCAGGAAATTGTTTGCGTCCACTGTTCCTGCAGTGTTTTTACACCAAGAGTTGAAAATGACAAAGTGATGCAGTGAAACAAAATAGGTTCATTTCCAACCCGGATTCATGTTTTGATATTTGTTGTCCTGGGTCTTTGTCATCCATGTCATCGTCTTCTTCCTTCTTCTCTTGCCTGGGTCGCTTGTGTCTGAACAGTTCCCAGCAACATTTTATGCAAACATTAGCCACAGGAAAAAAAAAAATCAACATGGAACATATGTTGGCTCCAGCAGTCAAAGAAAGACAGCGAAGAACATCAACATCATTAATTTAGACAAGCTACTTGATCGGTGTCCTCAAATCCCCTGACCTGTTCGGGAGAAGGACAACTCTCACAAAGTTCTTTGGATGCAAATGAGCCATTTGGGTCAACATGTTGACAGTGAACTCAAGTCTGCCAGCGCTGAGCACACCAGCAGTCACATAGTTGCACCATCCAATCAACCTCTCTGACTCCATTCTCCTCATACCAGCACCATACCCCTGCAGAGTCTCATGCAACCACGGTGTCACCTTCGCAGCGATGGCAGATGTGGTCTTGTCCTTCTCTCCATCTGCAACAGGGTCAGAGTGTGTTTTAAACCCCCATGAAGCAACATGAATAATCATAGATTATTAAAAGCCAAAAATGAGTTGTATTTTATTCCCTGCGACTAAAGATATATTATCTATCCATCTTTGAAATGCTTTAGCTATCGCTCCAGAAACCTTTGGCAGGACCACACAGATTTAAACGATTTTTTCTTGCAAACATTCTGCAGCAAGCAAAGCAGCAAAAACAACCAAATAGAACTGATTTAGTTACCAAAGGCGCCAAGGGCAAATGATCCATCAAACTGAATGGAGATGGATGATTTTAAAGTGACAGTGAGTGTTTCCAATTATGTTCAAACCAGTTTCTATCGTTTTTGACAATGACAGGCCTTGCTTCTTGGGAGTTACGTTCCAAGTTGGCAGGCTGCTTGTTGCAAACTCTTGCACCAAGCCCCAAGCTGTAGTGTGCATTTTCTGCCAGGGGCACGGTTGCAACCAAACATGGATTGAAAGTTGACATGTTTCCAAAAACTTTTGAAAAGTAAAACGCGGGGCACCCCTTGCCTCCAAAGAAGCCAGGGCAGAGCTGCGCGCACGCACTTCATCGCTTTTTGCTACGGCCATGTGACGCTCGTGCAAGACATGGTCATTGTCAAGCGATGTCTTGAATAGGTTAAAAGCTGCTTGGAGTGATGCCTTCCTGGCATTCGATACCGCGCTTTGTCCTTCCAAGATATGGTCCTCTTGCACTGATCCAGTCGCCTCTGCGTAAAACGCCAACTTGGTCAGGTCAAATCCAGGGTCGTTTCCTCTGATGTGAGCTCGTAGTTCTGAGTCTAGAGCCCTTAGTGACAGCAGCGTTGGTGCAGGATGGGAGAAGATGTTATGGTATCTTAAGGTTTCACTTGGCTGCATCTTGTGGAGATCAAGGGCAATACTAAATGGGGATGGGGACATGATTTTTATACTGGTCAATATTGAACCACCTTCCAATGAATCCAACAAACTTCAAGAAAGGTCCAAAAATCAACAGGATATCGCAACCTTGAAGGGTGTTCTTTACCCGGAAGTAAAATGTACCCCCAACAAATTACCTTTAAAATCACAAGATCCTTTGAAATGGGAGTGGCTCCCTACTTTTTTATCCTGGAAAGCCTTGGGATAATTAGAGCAATCTGGGCATATCGACATATTATATTATCATATTATGATATATATCGTATTCCAAAATGTTCCAAGATTGACCCCAACATGAATCCCAAAATGGTTCCAAATTGGACTGCAACATAAACACACAGTCAATGGAGCAAGTGTTTTCATTGGGGATATTTTCCCAAGTTGGGGGCCCAAGGGAAAATCCCGAAAACCATACTTTACGGCTGAACAATTTAACAAGAATACCTCACATGCAAGAACATGCATGGGGGGGGCTGAAAACATGTCATCGTTGTGAAAATGACTTGTGGGAGCCTAAATAGTACCAATTGAGGCAAGTCCATGTCCATCTTGTGACTTTCATTCAAATATAAGGTGTGTGTGTGTGTGAGAGAGGTGTGCACAGATTGCTGCATCGAAAAGAAAACACATGAATTCGGTGTGAGCCAACTTTGCCTTTCTTAGTTGTGACTTTTCCAGGCAGAATCATTGAGGAAAACCTACCACCACCAGCAGTGGATGTTTTGAAAGTGATTGCATTTAATTTGGTTGAAAGTGCTGTGTTTTTTTGTTTAAGTTCCTCTCCCAAAGTCCTGCGGTTTTTTCTAGCCACTGCCTGGGAGTGCTGTGGTTTTTTTTCTCCTATCTCCCAGAGTCCTGCGGTTTTTTTTATCCCTTGTCCTTGAGTCCTGCGGTTTTTTCTAGCCACTGCCTGGGAGTGCTGTGGTTTTTTTTTCCCTATCTCCCAGAGTCCTGCGGTTTTTTTTATCCCTTGTCCTTGAGTCCTGCGGTTTTTTCTAGCCACTGCCTGGGAGTGCTGTGGTTTTTTTTTTCCTATCTCCCAGAGTCCTGCGGTTTTTTTTATCCCTTGTCCTTGAGTCCTGCGGTTTTTTCTAGCCACTGCCTGGGAGTGCTGTGGTTTTTGTTTAGCCACTCTACCAAAGTGCTGCGGTTCCTATGGGATACCATCCAGCAATTATCCCACATTTTTTCATTTTGTGGAGTCCTGTGGAGTCATAGAAAGTAGTGAAAAGCAGAAAAAGGCTGAACAACACAGCATCCCAAATTTGGGCTTGGGAATCCAGCGGAATTTAAATTCCACAGCACAAAGTCAAGGTTTTGGATATGAGGAAAACCAACCACCCAAAAAAGGTAACTTGTCCCAGTAATGCACCCATACCAACATATGTAATCTGTGCTGCGGAATTTAAATTCCACTGGATTTCCAAGGCTTGGGGAATAACATCTGTGTGTCATGTGGTTTTTTGATTTTCAATAGCCCTCTCACCACAGTGCTGCTCCAGAGCCAAGGAACCCAAGATCCCACATCTCTTTGATCTTCTCGAGAATGGAAGAATTTTTTCCAAGTTGGACCTCCATCTTCGGGAGCAGCCAGCTCATGAAGCAGGACAGGGAGAAGATGTCTTGCATTGCTGATGCATCACGCTGAGCCAGTTTCTGTTCAGGGTTTTCAAAGAACTTTTCAATAATTGAAAACATTCAGTTTGGAGATTCAATGAATTTGGACCCCAACCACCAACCCAACCTTTTGCTTCGCACTGGCATTCTTGGGAGCTTTGCGGTTGTAGTCCGACATCACACGGTTTGCCCACATGACCACCGATGATTCAGTCGCTTCCTGTCGCACAAGAAGGAAATCAAGTATGATCTAAATAAAAAACATGACATTGTTTTCAACTATTGACTGTTTTCAACTTTGACCACGCCTGGGCTTCCTTCCAAATTCCTTCAGCACCATCGGGGATCGATCCGGGAATGTAGTAGTCACCCTCCAAGTTCTCAATGCACATAGCTGACAGGGAAGAGATTCCAAGAAGTGTGGGACCCTTCAAAAAAGATAACACAAAATTTATAGCAACCACAGGCCTGCAATCTCGGGCTTGGTGAACTCGTACATTTGGCCGATAATGTCCAAAATCTCTGGAGGGCATCGCATCAAGTTGTATGTAAGACGGCGAATGTCATCTTTGACTCTCCAGTTCTCAGGGGGTGAATGACAATGACACACTGAAACAATGCTATATTATACTACTGTATGTAGTTATATGCTAAGTATATAATATGCTATATAATATTCTATAATGTCGGTAACATAGTCTACTATTCTATTTATTTTATTTTATTATTATATAATATTGATTACATGCTATAAAATAACATAGTATATTAAAGAAACAAAACAAAACTTTATTGCCCCATGCAGTCCTTTTGGACCGACCTGTTGTACTCAGCCACAGCTGCCCAAACACAGTCTCGCAGGCTCATGTGCGGCGAGGCCGACCTCTTGATCCTTGAAGCTTCTCGGAAGATCAAGACAAAATCCAAGCAAGAGGGCTTGAGTTTCTCAGACCGTCGGGTTGCCAGACCTTAGTTGTTTTAGAAGTGGGTATGAGAATGTATAAAGTGCCAAGAACTTGCGATGATTTTTTTTGTCATATTTTATCAACAATATAATTGGGTTGAAGGGCTCAGAGATTCATAGACATACTGCTCCTCCCGCACATGCTTTGTGAAATTGCACCGGATGTAGCGGAATGATGCCAGCACCGCTGTAAAGTGAGCATCTTGCTCAATCTCACTTGCCTTGATGTCCTGAGATGTTTGCAAAGGTTTTTGGTATTTGGCTAGTTTTGGGGATTTCCTGCCAACAAAGATCAAATCAGGAAAACATAAAAGATTTACCGCAATCAAATTTTGACCATCCAAAAATCACACACTTCAAGCAATGCTAAGATCGTTTGGATGATCAGCATCTTATTCTGACCATCCACGAACTGCACTGAGAAAGGCTCGATGACATCAGCGCCAGCTGGAAAGCGCACATCGATGGGCTCCCTGTGAGCTTCATACCAGGAGCGGAGGAAGGACTGGAAATGGGCCTTGAATTGAAGGTTGGTCGGAAACCTTCCCTTCTCCCCATACTTCGATCGCTCGGAAAAGTCAAAGTTCCACGGAGACAAATGGAATTCCTTTGAAGCCACCGGCACTGAGTGCAATATTGGCTGGGCATGACTGGCCACCAAGTAATTCACACAGCCCAAAGCAAAGGTCGAAGACATGGCCTAATGAAACAAATCGCAGTCCAAGTTCGATAATAAACTCAGCTCTTTTTCAATTTGATACAATGAAATTGGGTGACTTGATGAACCAAGGCACTAGGATGAACGCTTTCTTCCCTTCATCAGATCCCAAAGACTCCCATAGCCATCGCCCCATGTTGATCTTGGAGCTAATCTGAGACAGGGTTGGAGGAAATCTTTCTTGAATGACAAAAAAGAAAAGGAATGTAAAGGAACCCTAGCCTCCTCCATTTTTGCGGTGAGTCGATCTGAAATTGACATGGGCTTCGAAGGATCGCACTTGGCTTCATCCTCCTTGGCGACCAAGATGCACTGGCATGGTTCATATCACGACTGAATCTGTGTGAACGCTTTCATGCTGTTGATTTGTTTATTAAACTAATACAAAATTGCCAGCAAGGCTCTCCATCACAGGTTTCATCTTTGACATTGCGGAAGAAATCCAACATTGTCGCCATTGACCGGGCTCTTTTCGATTGATCTTTGAAACACTGCAGTCAGTCATACAATCTTCAAGTAAGCAGTTGCCAACAACTTTATAAAGACGAGCTGCCTAGTTCTACAGCATCATTGGGAATCAGGCTGATGTTTGAAACACTGCAGTCATACAATCTTCAAGTAAGCAGTTGCCAACACCTTTAAATAACAGCTGCCTAGTTCTACAGCATCATTGGGAATCAGGCTGCCAAGTGTTCGATTTTTTTTTGGGCAGAGTGCCAGCTATACTTCACGGTGGAACCGAACAAACATTGTGTGCATGACATGCGGCTGTGGGTTTTGTAGTACCACACCTCCACGTTGCACACCAAAGTTGGAATTTTCAATAAAAGAAAGATGGGGAGGTTGGTTTCTTTGAACTGCCCTGTCCCCTGCCAGCTGCAGCAAATAGTTGACACCCCGTCCAAACTGGGAATAGTTCTCATTGAGGTAGCTGGCGATCTCTCTGAGGACTTCTTTGCGTTCGTCATCTAAGCTGCATGCCATGCCTCAGATCGGAAATGACTCTTGGCATCTCTTGGCCCAGATTAGCAGTGACCCGGGGCTGACTGAAAAGGATTGCCGTTTTTAAGTCCAAGTGTCTGTTCACTTCGTTCCTTGCAAGTCGACAAAGGCCATTCCATGTTTCTTGGGACTTGCATCCCGGCCAGACAATCAAAGGCTCTTGGCAAATATCTCGGTCGCTGACGAAGCCCTTGATCAGCAAGAAAACATCATTTGGATCTTCATTATATCGACGTGGAAGATGATTGGTGGTCCTTTCTATCAATGGTCGAGGCATACCTTAGATAGTGATGAGTCCATGTGATAGTTAAATAAAGAAAGGTCGCATCATTTTGAGACATCACCATCTGGTTGAAACATGTTGAAACCCTTTTATTAGTTTTAAATGATAATATAGGGTTATCAATTTTCATTCCATAAATGGGGTTATAAATGACTTAAATACAACTTGTAAACAGGAAGACATGACATGAACAGACATAGAAAGGCAATCTAGCGGCAGTCTCTTCTCACAAAAGTGAAAGAGTGTGGAATTTGCCGGTCATCTTTCTTGGCATCACGTTTTCTGTAGGCACCACCTGTTGTGGCATAGTTTACCATGTTGCCAGTCCAATCCCGTACAACATTCACATAGGTTGCCTGGAAGAAGAGATTCTTCTTCCTGAAGTGCTCTTTCAGCTTGTTGTTCAGGAACCTGCTTTTTACAACCAAGGAGTTGCAACAAACCTAATTTTGTTTTAGCACTGCAACAATGTGATTTTCTTCCAATAAGTTGGCAAAAGCTTTGAACATCTTTTGAACCAAGGAATGTAGCTGCAACCAAGTGGCGATACCAGATCCTGTGGACACTGCCTGAAGCATGCTTGTGATGCAAGTCTCTTGGAAGATCGGGGTGGCTGGAGATTGCTGGGGAGAAACTTGTGGGGCATATTGGGACACAGGTGAGCCCCTGACATATCTTCGTCTCCTTCACGAATCAGTCGGGATATCAATCCAAATAGAGCGTCTCAGACGGAGCAATGGCAAACATAAGAGGGTAACTGTAGAACCTAGTTGCAGTAATGTCAAACATTTTGATGTGATATTGGAATCTTTTGAATACTTGGGATCTGAGTACCAGACCCACGTCTTCGTGCGTGTGTCCAACACAAAGATGTTCATGACTCATGGAGTCAAAGATTTGTGCTGCTGTCATTGTGCAGCAAAATCGGTCGAACAACCCGTTCTTGATCTCCTGCCAGGGATTTGAAATCATGAGCCATGATATTCAACCAAGGTGTTCAGACATTCCATGACTTAAACATACTTAAACCATGTTCTACGTGCCACAAGTTGAAGAACAATTACAATCAAAAAGGCCACTTCACTGTTTTGATTGGTCTTTACATGGTCTTGCTCCTTAGGCGTGTTATCTGCAAATAATTTGCAGATCCTAGGCCAGGGTTGCCCCGACTTCTGGTTCAGTTCCCAAGCAGATTGCAAACTTCGGCTGAATACTTCAATGCTCCACGCTGATCCGAAGGATAGGTCTGGATCAGCTACATAGATAAATATTCCTTGGCCATGTACAAGACAAGCTGTAAGCTCACACTCAGGCCTGACCTTTTGCTCAAGAGCTTTGGGCGCCACTCCAGAGGGGTATCTCGGCAGCTTGAATTTGCTCTTGTCCATAGAATCCTGGATAGCAATGATCACATCCTTGTCATGGGCAGCCCTGTGGCGAAGCTCCCAATACACCTTCCGATCTGCGAACTGGCCCCCTAAGTGCCGTAGATATAAATCGGCAGCATGCGCATGCTCTTGCAATGTCCTAGCCTTCTTGATTTTGTTCTTCAACTTGTGGCAAGTAGAACATTTCGCATGTGTGGTTTTCCCACGGTGACGTAGTTTCTTCCCCCATCCTGATGATCTCAAAGTTCTGAAGAAAGTTGCAGAGCTCGCCGCTGGCTGCTGTGCAGAGTGGCAAGCTGCTGTGTACAACCTGTAGAGATCACTGAAGTTTCCTGGTGGAAGGTATCTTCTAGGCAGCTTGTCAGGTGAAGTTTCCATGAACCCAGGTTGAGAACAAAGGGACGAATTGACCAATGCATCGATCAGAACTTCTCGTCCATGCTCAGTGGTAAAGTCCATCTTTCCCACGTCTAACCTTTCTAAAGGATTACCCCCATGCACCGGCATGTGAAAGTTGGGATCATTCATTAAAAACACTCCCAACCAAAGGTGTCAGAAGATACCACAAAATCCGAAAAATGCTGGAAGCCAAGCTCATGTGCTCATGAGGCAAAGTTTCTGCTATGCTCCAATATGTATGCTGGAGAAATTGCAGTACAGAGGCCGACGCTCGGCCACAGCTAGCCCCTGCTCCTGATTCCACCAAGGATGCTAAGGGAAACTGTTGTTTGGGGAGACATTTTTTTGATAAACCGCATGGTTCTGGGGGGAAAGGGTTTTAAAATGTTTAACATAGGCTTCAGGGTTGCAGCCAGGCATCCATATTTCCTGGCATCCTCTCCTCTGAAACTTTTTTTGGTGCGAGCCAATCTCCCACGACCAATTCCAAGAAGTTGTAAGAACGCAGTTCGGCAAACAGAGGTTCCTGTTCAGCTGTTGGGGAACATGGCATGTTTTCTGCAATATTTTTTGTCAAACCAGTCCTTCGATGAACCACTTGGCTCTCGAGGTTGGCTCGCCGTTAGATGATCCACTGCTGGACTCTGATTCTTGCGCTTCATCGCTCGCATCGGTCTCTTGGCTGTGGTTGGCAGCTTGTAAACTCCACAGCCTCAGTGTATCAATCTACAATGTAACAAAGTAGAAAGCAATCTTGAAATCTAGGTGGTTAAGTATGATGTTTCCCACAAAAGCCAAGCAACAAACAGTCTTGACCACTCTTGCTCAAAGACCAGAATGCAACGCAAAAGGCGAACACAGTCTTGAACATAAGATTTCTCTTGCATCTTTTGTTGCAGCAGGGTTTCTTCATAGATTGCTTGATGCGATCAACACTTTTTCCATTTGCAGCCGCTTGAGACTGATCACCAGCTTCTTCTGCAGTATCCATGCATAAGACTTGATTCAAACTCAGGTTCCTCATCTTGTTGATAACTTTTGATGTAGACCCAACACTAGCCGATGAAGAGCCTGATGAAGAGCTTGATTCAGAATAGCCCGATTCAGATCCAGACTCATCGGAATCCGGCGCATTGTAGCGAGGGAACATGTCGCAAAGAGTGTTGGATAAACAATAGTTGTGAAATTGTGAAACAGTAAATGTGCTTCAATAATCTCTAATAGTTACCATGACAGCAACATATTATTTTGACAAGAACGGTTGTGAACATTTCATGGAAACAGTGAGCAATCCAAGGATTCCTTGAGCTGACAAACATCAGCTTCAGCATCGAGAACTTCAAGAATCAGTGACATCATGTGCCGGTGAATGCTGTGGATGTCAGTGTTTTGCGGCGCACAAAAACCAAGTGACATAATTTCAACCCCCATGCTCACATTTTTTAACCCCTTCAGTTTCGCAAACGGTCCTCCATTGCTGCATTGAACTTGTTCAAATCACACATTGATAGGGCGCAAGTATATGCGGCAGCCACTGATTTCACATGGAAAGCATTTCCAGCCAGTTTGTGTATTTCCTTGGTATTGCTTTTTGCTTAGAATCTGATCTACCTGTTTCCCATTGAGAAGCATTAAGGGGGAAACTATTGAAATCTTGTGAGTGGCAATCAAAACACTGAATTCAGTCCAAGGAGCGGCATTTGAAAGGTGTTGCAATTTCAGCCTGTGTACAGGAAAGCCCTGACACAACAGCTTTTCGATTCCTGAAAGGGTTTTGAGGTGGCATTTTGATGTTGAGGGTTTTGAGCAAACTTTGAAACCAGCATCTTTTTTAAAATACCAAGCCTGTCAAGTATCGCTTGTGAGCCATGGACCAGTAAGTGCCACTCGGGGTAATACATGGAATT